CAATGTTTTCGATTGAATGGAAGAAATTTATCCAAATTTACATGATTTAGTTCATCAGTCACAGCTACTAATTCCAATGTGAAAATAGAAAATCCATAGTCCAAAACTTTTGGCCTATGGATCCATAGTCCAAAAGTTTCTGGTCATCCAAAAAGGGGGTCATGGTTTTGGACCAAGAATTTTATTGGATGATCCTTGTATAGATGACTTGTGCTGAGTGGTAATTATACCATAATAATATATCCAAACCCAAAATCTTAAACTTTAAAGCAATTAGCTCAAATCAATCTTAGGACATTGTATTAAACATTAAGAATGGAAAATTTGGCTAAGTTACACGGGTTCTAATAGACGTTAGCCGCTAATCGGGTGGCGAGCTGGGGTCTAGTGCCTAAGCGGGACGGATTTAAGTAAATTTATGGTATATTGATAAATAAAATGACAGATTATAAAGTATTAGAGAACCATATTGAAAATATAGTGAACAAGCATATAATGAGTGTTCATTCAAGTATTCAACAAGTCTCTTGAGAGTCGTGATATAGGTGGGTTTAGGCGTGCTAGGCAAGCTCGGCGGACGCCTAAGCAGGTCTAGGGGCATTTTCTTTATTTTCAAACGCCTAGGGACTAATCGGGGCGGTGTCCAACCGCCTAGCTCCTAGGCGGGGATTTTTACAACAATATGTGTTAGTCAAAATAATTTGATGTTAAACTCACCAGATCAATGAAGTCAAATGTAAAACCTCTCATTTATAAGCGGAGACAAATTTTTCATATACAACAATATTGCGGGTTGAAGTTTTGGATAAGTCATACTATGAGTCAATCATAATTTGGTATCGAATTCTAGGGAGCCGAAACCTGTGACCTACCATGCACTTACAAGTGAAGAAGAATACCACTAGACTACAATATTAAGCTTGTCATTTTGAAGAATCGAACATAGACTTCATATTTAAAATATAGAGAAATACCATTAAACTATACTATAATAAATTATATCTATTTTCATTATCTTTTACACTATATGATGGTTGGCGTATTTGATTATATTTGTTAGAATTAATCCATGATATGGTGGGCCACGTACGTCTAGGATCACAAGGCTGATGATGAAGAGTTGAGTGGGTTGATGAAGTTTGAAACAATTATTCCTCAGAAGATTTTAGACATGCATTTCCTTCTGGTGCACGTAGGGGGGATTTAATCTGAACCATTCATTTGAACCGTAAGACATCTATAAATTGACTCCTTCATTAGAAGAACATGTATTCGTACTTGACTTGAGAGTTTGGGTATTGGTTAGTCAAGGTTAATCTGCACATCATGGCTAATCATGGTTATTGTGGGGTTTTACTATCTCTTACTTTGTTAAGTTTGGCTATTCATGGAAGCTTCTGCTTCCCTGAAATTAATGGAGATAACAAGGGCTCTTCACGTACCACTACTGCTAAGGGAAAAACATGGGCAGTTCTGGTTGCAGGATCAAGTGGTTACTACAACTACAGGCACCAGGTTAAGCTTGTCCAAAATTTTGATTAATTAGTAACATTTTATGTTAATTGTATTACAAGTAATAAAATTTAGGGCTAATCTTTGTCGTTCCATGCAGGCTGACATATGCCATGCGTACCAGATACTGAAGAAAGGAGGACTGAAAGACGAGAACATCATCGTTTTCATGTACGATGATATTGCGTACAACCCGGAAAATCCTCGACAAGGTGTCATCATCAACAAGCCAAATGGTCATGATGTTTATAAAGGAGTTCCCAAGGTTGTAACAAATTTTCTGAGTCTGATTTTTAATTTCTAGCTGGTTAATTTGTTAGTTTAACATTGTTCAGTTACCTGAAGTATTTTTTTTTCTTCTAATGCAGGATTATACAGGAGATCATGTTAACGCACGCAATCTCTATGCTGTTATTCTTGGAGACAAGAGTGCTCTCACCGGAGGAAGTGGCAAGGTTCTAAGTAGCGGTCCGAATGACCATGTTTTCATATATTATGCAGACCATGGTTCTGTAGGATTTCTTGGTAATTAGTTATTTTTTTTTATTAACTTTGGAAATTATATTTAGTGATCTTACATGGTCCCATAAATTCAGTAAATTTTGTTCTTCGGGTTACATATGAACTGTATATTGTGTTCAGGGATGCCTAGCGATTATGTTTATGCGGAAGATCTCATACGTGTACTGAAGAAGAAGAATGCTTCTAAAGGTTACAAAAGCATGGTAAGAATTTTCACTTGAGTAACGGTCTTACTGAAGTTTTCAACTCTTTATTTGATGATTTTCATGAGGTCTTAATGCATTTATGTGAAAAAAAAAAAAATTAGGTTTTTTACATTGAAGCTTGCGAGGCAGGGAGCATGTTTGAGGGCCTCCTTTCAAGTAATCTGAATATTTATGCTACCACCGCGTCGAATGCAGAAGAGAGTAGTTATGGAACATATTGTCCCGGTGACCCATCAGTTCCTGCCGAGTTTGATACTTGTTTGGGAGACTTGTATAGCATTTCCTGGATGGAGGACTGGTAATGCAGGGCCTTTCTTTATGAAAATGCTGTTCTAATTAAACAGAGTACATTACTTTGTCAGTTTCAAATACATTTTCAATCAAATGCTCATACTAATTACTTTGTTGTTTCGGTGACTTTTGGACCATATTTTCACATTTTGAGAGCAGTGACATAAGTGATTTGCATAAAGAAACTTTGGAGAATCAATATGAAAGGGTAATAATTTGAAAATTTCTCGTATGTAAATAATGTCTAATGTTGGGAAAATTAGAATAAATATGACCATGTGAACATGTCGATTGAATTACAGGTTCGAAGAAGAACAACTAATTCGCATGTTATGCAGTACGGAGATATGAGTCATAAACAGGAGTTCCTCTTTGCTTACATGGGTGCTGATCTTTCTAATCGTAGCCATACTTCCACCAGCGATATCTCTTCACCCTCGATCTCAAGGGCTGTTGACCAACGTGACACGAAGCTCCTCTACTTTCAACAAAAGGTTTCTGCTCTTCTTTTATTCTGAATTCCAAACTTCGATGTGTTTAACTTTCATGTATACACATATATGTATTGATTAGTACATGCCAAACTCTCCGGCTAGAGAACTTTTCGTATGTTTTTGACAATTTGTATTTTTCGTTATATATGTGTCAGCTGCAAAGAGCTCCTACTGGATCTCAAGAGAAACAGGGTGCTCAGAAGCAGCTGCTGCTTGAAATTGCTCATAGGAAAAACGTGGACTATAGCATAACGAAACTAGGGGAGGCTTTGTTCGGACACGAGAAGAGCTCAAACGTTTTAATGAATGTTAGGCCACAGGGCCAACCTGTGGTAGATAATTGGGACTGCTTCAAGAACTTTGTAAGTTCATCTCCTGTAATTCTATACATCCAATTGATCTAGACGACACGCAAGTGCTTGTGCTTCTTTCTTCAGTTTTTTGAAGTAAACAAGTCTTATCTCCGAGATAACTGATTTTGAGTTCTTTCCATGTAGTTGAATATTTATGAGAAGTACTGTGGACATTTATCTGCATATGGAATGAAGTACACACGAGCTATAGCCAACATATGCAATGCTGGGATTACCACAGAGAAAATGGTTGCAGCATCTGATCAAACTTGTGCCAACAAACCCAATGTCTAGAACTTCCTCTCTGATCAGATAAATGATCAATATATGTACGTGTGAAGGTGATGTGTTGGATGCTAAACATTTCAGGAGTTGATCTTGAAGAAATTGCAGCAGCTAGACTAAGAAGCCAACGGCTATTTTCTTTTGAAATGTAACGGCTAGTTTAAGTTAAGTGATGGTTTTTTACAAGTGTAAGGCTTAGATTAAAAGCTCCAATGAAGGGCTAAAATTAGCTTTGTACGAACAGGTTGGTGAGCATTTTGTCAGCTAGCTCCAATGGAGATAACGGCTGACTGTGCAATCCCAAAACCCTATCAATTACATATATGTATATATATGTGTACTATGAGCTGCCGCAGTAGCAGTCTCCAATAACCGACATTCCCTTCTTAAATTCTGTGTGCAATCATCACCATTTTTGGTGACCTCTATCCTTTCCAAAACTAGCATACAAAATACCATCTTTACAAAACACTATCATGATGCAATAAGAACACCGAAATAATACAAAATATTTTCGGAAATGGTCTTGCAATGCTAGTGAAGCAAAATCTCTGTTGAGAGAAAATAATTTAACTTAACAGCGAAAAAATTATTTCTGTATACCATCGTAGATCAAATTTGATCATTTTTAATCGTTGATCTACACTCTTGACTTGAAGATTCATACTTCGTTTCTCTTAAATAATTTCAAGTTTAGTATGCCAGCAGTTTCATTTTTTCATGAAAAGGAGAAAACCTATGTTGGATTTGGTCTCTAGACTCCGATGGGAGGGAGGTACTCGTGCATTATAATTTATATTGTCTCGTCATACGCGAGGATTTCCAATCTCATATATTTTTTTTACGACTTCATATCTAAAATTCAACTAATCAAAATACAATACTAGTTCCAAACTAATTTCAGAATCATAGACGATCATCCAATTCTCCTCCTCTTCTACATTCTGGCTTGCCTTCTAATATTTCTCACCTTGCTTAATTGAAGACGTCTAGAGCTTCTACCGTTCGAGACCTGCCCACAACCCGAACAGACCTTCTCTTGGACTTTAACCTTACATGGCGATGGCTACAAGTAACATGCCTACTTGAAGGGTAAATAGAGCTCTGCAGCCTATCCTTTCTTCTCCCGGTGACTAACTTCCGCTTTATACTGAAGTTTAAGTTATGATAGTTATCCCACATGTCATTTTCTTTACTCGAACTGAAGCCTTGTTCTATGTCTGAAAATTGGCGGAGGCGGCAATGGCGGTGAGGTGCCTCAGTCGACCTATCCGCCTAGTGTTCCTTAGCTTGTGCCACAAGATACAAGTAATATCTCCCAATGCAAACCCATACGTCTCACATGCAGCCCAACACATTTTACATAGCCTTTTTCCAATGCATTGGAAGATCCCCAGCTTGAATAATAGATAGAAGAACAATGAAGCTGAAAGAAAATAAAAGATACGAGTAAGCAACAAATCAACCATTCTGAAAATGAAGCTCAAAAACCAAGAACTCTGTAGCTTAAAAGGCTAGAAATAGACAACCTTCAGAACTATTTTTTTTACAAAACCAAAATACAATAATAAAGGCTACACAATCCTTAAATACAAAACATAAGAGGGGCTTCTGAACCGATTACAAACTCCTAATCAAAAGCAGAACTAGATGGGCTAAGCATACAATTAAGGTGACTTCAACTCGTCTGTTAAGCATCTCCTAGCTCTAGTTTTGTTAAAAAAATTGTAACCGACTCTATTTGTACATATCACCGTTCACAACTACTGTTTTTGGTGCCTGACACGCCATGATCACTGCAACACATGGTAGTATTATCTTCTGCATTGAGCTGCGTGTACTTTTTGGAGGAGCCCTTGCAAAGCTTGACTTGGTATTTGATGGCATTGAGCTCCAGCTTTCGTGGTGCGGCTTTACCAAGATCAATGCCACAAACTTCAGAGAGCCTAACCAGGTAGAGCAACACATCTGAGAGCACTTCCCCCAGGTGTTGCTTCTCTTCCTCTTTCCAGTATGGCAGTCCTCTTGGAACCTCTGCTTTCCACTGAAATATCTCTGATAGCTCTCCCACTTCTCCCACCTGAATGCACATTATACACCAAATTGGGAAAGGAAACTAGGGGATCTTTGACCAAGTTATAATGCTTAGAATCTCATGAGTAATCACATCAAAATGGGGTCTTTAACTGTGTGTAGAATCTATAGACAGAGATTGACTTATCGACACCTGGATCAGAGTCTAATCTTGAATGAATAATATGATGCCGTGTGTTTTAAATGTCCCACAAGGCATCTCGTTATTGTCTCAATGCACAGCATTGTACCGAGGTGTAGGAAAGTTTCTCTCGAATATAGGCACTCATTTACCAAGATGCATACTTGGAGTTGTTCTAAAATTAATATTGGATAACCATTACATTTATCCTTATATTTACTATAACCTTTTGATCCAACTCTATTTGGGGTCTTCTTCCCTTCTTGTGGTTGAGTTCACATATGAAAAAGAACAATGATAAAAAACAAGCAGTGATAGACAATCTATTCAATCAGTTGCACACATGTCTTCTTTCTTCTTTTTCCCTTTTGGTTCTTCCATTTTCTGCACTTACAATTCATTGATGGGAACCAGACATCTGAGAAAATATAAACTCAACAACCAAAACCCAGAATTTTAAATCCAAGAAGATAATTGAAAGTTTCTACATTTTCTATCCGTATCATTTCCTGTATAGTTGGAGAACAGAAACTAGATCTTACTATTTCATTGATTAATTCAGTATTATATTTTCAAACTCAAACAAACGCAGAGTACTCATGTCAAATATTACCAAGAAAAGAGAGATTTTTGTATCTATGTGAAGAATCATACAAAAAATCCCACCCAAAGTAAAAATCAATAACAATAATAAAAAGGTTTGACAAAAATACTTTTAAAAGGTGGTCAAAGGTCGTTCACCTAACAATTTAATAAGATTTTCCACGAAATTATCAAAATAATTTACAGTGGACAAAATCAGGGTTTCATTATCATTATGCAATGTCAGAGACCATTTTGGATAAAAATAAAATTAATAAAAATGGATAATGCTAGGAAGACTAAATTTGCAAACAAAATTTGCAAATTAAATGATGTATCACTAACAGGAATGAGTAAGTTTATTAACGTATAAGTAATAATTTAATCATTAACTCCCATGTCATTTAGTTTACAAAATTTTGTCTATAAATTTAATCTCCTTCACATTACTTAATAAAAAAATAGGAGAATAATAGATAATGGGTATGTGGACAAACAATCATAGAAGCAGAAACGATGGCTGTAAGCAAGTTTTACTAAGATTTCACAAATGGGTACTGAACTGATGTTAGGGTTTTGAAATTGTACAAATTACCAGAGCCAAAAGCAGATTTCTAGGGCTATGAAACTGATCCCAGTCTCTCTCCCTTGACAACTCAGCCATTTTCTTCTTCAGTTCCTGCAGGGTAACACCTTCTCTTTCTGCAACTCCAACTCCAGCCATATCTCCAACCGCTGAATAAACACCAAACCCTAAAACTCTCAGAGACTCATTGTCAGTCTCAAACTCTTCCGGTGGTGGCCGGTCTATTTTCTTCACAAACAGGACCTTATTAGACTGGCTACCGGATTTTGCCGGTTCCATTCGGAGGGATTTTGATTTTCATTTGACAGGCACGCGCCGGTTTGCTGGTAGGGATTTGGGGGGACCAAATGTTGTTGGTTGGGGGAATATCCCCGATGGACATTTTTGGAAAACCGTATCGTGCAAAAGTGCAATGATGGGAGAACCTTCGGCTTTGGATGTGGATGGACTCGTGGTCACTCAAACACTAACGTCAAGTTGATTTCATCTTGGTGTGTGAAATGGTGCGACATGGTTATCAGTATCTTTTATTTTCATGACGAACAATGTAAAGTAGACTATTTTTTTAGTAATATTAGTTAGATTAAATTTGTATGCTTTAGACATAATTTTTATATCAACATTATAAAATTTAAGTTCGTGAAGAGTTTCTTTTGCATTTTTGTTTAATCTAATTAGTATTACTCAAAAAATTAATTTACCTAAGATTATATGGAAGATGAAGTGGACTTTAGAGTTTGAGTGATCACGGGTCCATCCACACCCAAAGCCAAAGTTTGTCACATCATTCCATTTTTGCACGAGACGGAATTTCCAAAAATGTCCTTTCGGGGATATTTTCCCAACCAAGAACATTTGGTCCCTACCAGTAAACCGGCATGTGACTGTCAAATGAATATCAAAATCCCCCTGGAAGGAACCGGCAAAATCCGGTAGCACATAACTAGTGAATCCTGCAAGTGAAGATGCAAGTGAGAGTTCATGAAAAATCTCACTTTTGCAAGAGTCTCCTTAGCATTGTTTTAGACTAAATTTGCAAATTAAATGATGTGTCACTAATAATAAGCACGTTAATCAACACTTAAATAATAATTTAACCATCAACTTCCATATCATTTAGTCTATAAAATTTAATCGATATATTTAATCTCTCAAGTATTACAATATGGTGCAAAAATGCAATGATGGGAGAACCTTTGGCTTTGGTGTGGATGGACCGTGGTCCCTCAAACTCTAAAGCCAAGTTGATTTCATCTTGCATGTATAGGAGTGCAACACGGTTATTTCTTTTATTTCAGAGTAGTTTTAAGTAGTTCAAATTTTTAGATTAACCTTGTAAATTATATGATGTGTACAATAAAAAAAACATTAATCAATACTTAAGTAATAATTGCAAGTGGTATTTTACTACAGTGGTGGAAAGTGTTGGGCCCTTACATGACGGCGTGGGTTCAAATCCCGTTGGTGGCTAATCTAATATTTAAAAGGTCGTACCCCGTGGGTTCAAATCCCGTTGGTGGCTAATCTAATCTAATATCTTTTGACAAAAAAAAAATTCTGCAATAATAATTTAATCATTAAAATCCACGTTACATGGTTTATAAAATTTGGTCTAAAAAATTACCTTCTTTGTGATACAACGGGTCTTCATTATGAGAGTTTCCCTCGAAAGGACTTTATAATATTGAAAGCACTTTGTAATATGATCAGAATCATTCATATTAAAAAACACTTTGTAAGATCACATGTGCAAAAAATCAATAAAATATGAGATAGTTCAGTCATTGAACTACTTTAAAACAAATGGACAGATTTTGTAAAAGCATCAAGAACCGTCTATTTATTTGCTACAATTGATTGACTAAACGATCTTAATTTTAATTAAATTTTTGCATATGTAAAATTTCATGAATTGGCCACTAAGGCCGTGTTTGTTTGGCCTCTTTAGCTAGGATTAGGTAGGATTGGCCTAGAAATTGTCCTAGTCCCTTGTTTGGTGCTGGTAAAGGATTAGGTTTAATGGGACTAAATCAGACTTGTGTTCGCTAAGGGCTTCGCTACTAATACCGTGCAAAAGGCTGGGATTAGTAGTCCCGTTTCTTCATCCCATCGTTTTCGTCCATTTCAGTGAGAACCTTCTCTATTATGAACATCCACTCCAAGCGCTGCAGGATCTTGAGCGCCTCACCGTTTACATCTTTTTTTTTTAGCTTCTGCTGCAGCAGCGATTTCCGGGCATTAATGGCTTCTGAATTTGAACCCGGGAAGTCGGAAAAGGGCGATGAGGATTGGTTTTTCTCGTCATCTATGAACTGGGCTGTCATGGTAGTTAATTGGGAGAAGGATGCAAGGGTTGTGGGGGGAGGAGGAGGCTGTAATTTTGAGGGATTCGATGGAATCGATCTGGGCTTCAAATGGGATCCAGTTTTTCTTTTGTCTTCATCTTCTGCGTTTTTTCTTCCAGATGGATTAGGACTGGAATTCAAACAGGATTAGAGAGATTTGTTTGTCGTGCGTTCTGTAGCTCTCCAGCTTCTAGAGTTGGACGAAGATGGGTAGGGAGAAAAGTGGGAGAGGGGATTCTAGAAGCTGGTCTCTTCTGGAGTTTGTCGTGCATTCTAGAAACAAAAAAATAAAAAGATAAAATTAATAATAAAATATTAAAAAAGATATAGATTAAATAGTATAATATTATAATTTGATAATTTATAAAAACATATTTAAAAAGATAAGAATTAAATAATATAATTTGAGAGTTTGTTAATTATCCTGCTTCTTAGTCTGACACTGCACCAAACGCTTCACTAAGTTAATCCAGTTTAGTCTAGTCTAAGCCAGTCCAGCTTAGTCCCTGAAGCTAGTCCAGTCCGACACAATCCGATGCAACAAACGCACCCTAAGTGAATTGGGTAGGACTTCTCCTTAGACTTCAGAAGCCAAGATAACGTTTTTTTTTTTTTTTTCAATGATGGCATACGAGATTTTATCAACATCCCGAAATTGATTTAACAGGACTTTTAGTTTGGAGTCAAGCCCACTGTTGTTAGAATTGTTATTACATGGCTCATTTCCTTTGATTGACCTCTCGTCAACTAAGTGGGAAGAATGCTTTTCTTCATGGATATGGCACTACTGGTTTTTTGCCTTAAAATCCAGAATTTGTTGATCTACTCACCTTGCCCAATGTTGTCGATTGCACAATTTGGTTGACTGCTCAGTCAACTAGATATGAAAAAATGTTTTTCTTTATGGATATGTGAGCACTATTGTTATCATGTTTCAAGTTCCAAGATTTGTTGATTAGAAGATATTTTCACACACTATTTTTAACTTTTTGCACAAATTCTGTTCTATCTTGATCGTTGATTCTGCTTGATTCATTCAATCTGATTGCCATAAATAAAAAAAGACTCTGTGAGAATCTAAAAAGATGTGCGAAAATAACTTCATCTGTTGATTCTGCTCACATGTCATCTTACTCAACATTGCCAACTGCACAAAGCTATTTATGGTCTTAAGCAAGGTATACGAGCTTGGTTTTAATGTCACAAATCAGTGGCTTCTTGATCCGATTTCGGTTTGTTCAAAATCAGGATTAATATATCTTTTGCTCATCTTCTGGTATTATGGTTCTTATATTGTATGTTGATGCTATTGTTTCGACCCTATCTCGTTTTCTTAGTAACTATTACATGTGGCAATGAGTTCGAACTCATCGACCTTGATTCACTATCTTATTAATTTAGGGCTACATGCCACCTGATCCTGTACCGATGTAAGACTTCATCTTTCACAAACCAAGTATACCATTATCTTCTCAAGTGCCACATTATGTCAGACTGGTTTTCTAGTTTGTAACTTTTTTGTTTTTTTTGGAACAAACGATATTTCCACATTAAGGGGGTGGAGAAGTGGACTAAGCTTCACAATGAGCTTGCAATAAAGTGGTTCAAATTCGCATTTAGTGAGAATCTAACTTAAGACCTTCCACTTACAAATGGCTTCTAGTTTGTACCTTGAAATTGCTAATTTGGTGGATCGAGACACAGTGCAGACAGTGGTTCCAATCCTACTGTAAAACAGTAAGAACAAACAACACAATTAACAGTTCGAAAGTAAAACTACGAATACGAAACACAAAGATTTGCACGAGTGCGAGGGAAAACAGCTTTTTCATGAAGAGATGATGTATGAATGAATGCTAAGTTTAGAAAACTTTCACTGAGTTGCTCTCAAAACCTAACATATGTAAAACGAAAGATGCAACATTGAATATTAGGGTTATACCATATGCGTTTAAGGAAAGATGCAGAACTTATTTTTGTAGGAGTTTCGTCGCCTAATTCCTAGGCCAAATCAAAACAGATTTTTGTCTAAAAATTATCCTAAATCAACTAGGTCAAACACTCCTACATTAAGTCAATAGCCTGAATTGATCTCGCACGGCTAAAATAATTCAGTCACTCTAGAGTCATTCCCTAAATGAGTGTATATGAATATTGCCTTATGAAATCCAGAAGATATATTCTTTATTCTTTATCAAATAACTTTCGTGTTATCCAAGTAATCAGTATCTAGACCTAAACTAAGGACTATATGGAAATGAAGGCGAACGATTACAGACATGTATTGTATACACTCTAGAAAATTAGCCAATTAAAACAACTTATGTTTTGCCGTTGAGTACTACGGTCTAGTGATATTCCTCTTCACATGTAAGTGAGAGGTCTTAGGTTTGATTCTCGCCAGATGCAAATTTGAACCACATTATTGCTAGACCATTGTGAGGCTAAGCTCACCCCCTTCCTCTTATTGTAAATAATATATCATATGTTCAAAAAGAAAAAAAAAGCTTGTGTTTCATACCTCCAAATAATTGTCCTCTTGAGGGAGAGTTGCATTTATGATGTCATGGGGGAGTATAGATAGCTTGTTGGCTTTCTTCACTATCACACCTTCGACATTTCTTTTATACTATATTTGGATAAGGAAAATAAACTTGAAATTTTGGCAAAAGTCAAAATTTTTAGATTGACATGCACCAATTCCTTTGTTTGGATTCATAAACATAAAAATATAGAATTTCCACATAGAAAAAAACTTGGAATTTGGGACCTCCAATTCTCAAGTTTAAATTTCATGTAACTAGGTAGTATTTCTAAATTTCTATGAGTGAGTTTAAACAGAAAAAATTCCGTTTTCAAATTCCATTTTTCTTTTAGATTAACCAAACAAGAAAATTCACAAATTTCATAAAACAAATTCCGTCATTTCAAAATTCTTTAATAATCTTA